CCGCCTGCATGGCTAGTGTATACCCAGAAATAATTACACGGAAACTGTATTCTTTCAAACACTGCCTGGCCCGGCTAGGTCCAGTTTCTTATTGGCTAGCTCTTACATATTGTTTTAACCCATTTCTAATATTTTGTGTAGCCCATGAGCTGGCTTACCAGAGAGGATCTTAACCTGCGTCTGTCTGGAGTGGGAGCATCATGGCGACTCACTCACTCAGCTTCTTTTTCCCAGAATTCTCCTCTGTCTACTCCGCCTACCTAATTTTCTGTCCTATGAGGGCCGAGGCAGTTTCTTTATTATTATAAGACCCACCTCCATCACTTTCTCTGCTCTCTCCAAGGTCCTTTTGATATTTCCCTTCCCCTGCTCCCCCACGCTGTTGTTCACTGTTCCTCACTGTTCTACCCATCCCACATGATTTCCAGTTTATAGACCCGCGCAGACAGTTAACAAGCACACATTTTACAGAATCACAAACACAGGTAAAGGAGGCACCTCATGTCTCAGAAGGAGCATGGCTGTGAAGCTCCCTGGTAGATACTGAGAGGATTAATTAAGAATCAATACAAAATTCTAAGATGTTTTCATGTGCTAACTACATTTCTTAACTTTAACTAGTTAAGCTGGAAGTTTGTGATTAGTAATTGTAGAAAACGCAAGAGTGCTGTCGCACTTTCTGAGCACTTCTGCTTCCTTCCCTGGTGTTGGTAACCATAGTAACCCCGGGGTTTGGGAGGAAGGCAAAGGTACTTAATTTGTATCAACATCCAGCTAGCTGAGTTAAAGGGAATTTCTTTGAAGATTTTGCTTCCAGCCCCAGCAGGGTGTCTGCCAGCACCTAGGTGAGAAGGAATTTCTTTCTCTGAGGCTGGTTTAGTGATTCAAGCCTTTTCCTTGCATCTCTAGGGGTAAAGGCATAAACAGCTAATTTCCTGGGCTATGGTCTTATGTTAATTGAAACCAAGGTAAAGGGTAAATATTAATAGCTTGTTAGGTTAGAGCAAAGGCCGGTAGATTACACCTCCCTGAGTCTGCTGCTAGAGAATTCAGGTCACCTAGACATGTTTATCAGCAAGAACAGACACACTGCCTCCTGCTCAGGGCTCCTTTCTGTCAAGAAGTCCTGGCAATAAGGATAATTGCAAGAGTCTAGCTCTATGTAGATTTGACTATGAGGACAAAGATTTGGCTGAGTGAATGCTTTCATACCAGGGCTCACTGGTGTGGTAAAAGCCATCCAGTTGCCAGTGCAGGAGAATTCACGTTTAAAGAATGATTTATACACTGCTGGGATATAGTGGAAGGGAGAAACATCACAAATTCACAAAATTTCTACAGAACTGACAGTGACCATCCAAAAGACAAATGTTCCCAAAACTCAGCACACTGGGTTCTTCACCAGATCAGACTCCTGTGGATCTGTCTAGTGGTCTGACAGCTGCGCATTTACTGCATAGTCTTGTGACTCCCATCACCAAACACCAGTCATATAGGTGACCTTTTAAAGTCCTGAGCCCAGGCCCAGTAGTTGCCTCCACACCTTGGAGTGTACAGGTTGTGTAGAGGCTGAGAGGTTTTCATGAGCTCAGATTTGCAGGACTTCAAGTTTATTATGGACTTGGGGTTTCTGGGGTCTCCATGGGTTTTTGTAATTCTGGGAATAATGGGAGCTTTGGATGTGGTGCGGTTTCCTCCAGAGGCTCCGCTGGCTTCAGGCTGGCCTCCTTTTCCTGGACGGTGAGAAGGCGGGGCAAAGAAAGAAGATGGAACAGATTTACAGGTGAACTAGCCACACCCAAAGAGGAACTCTAAGGAAATGTGGATCAAACATTGTCTTAACTTTCCTCAAGATACTATGACTGGAACCTACAAACCTCTTCTCCCTCTGACCCTTCCTAGGATGTTGTACATGATGACCTCAGGCAAGTGTTTCCCCATGCTCTGGATCAGCCTAACCCCCTGCCAGCGTGGTTCCTCTCTGAGGGTAAGGGCTAGGTCTAATCCATCCTGGCACCTCACTTACCCAGGGCAGAGGAAGCAGAGAGCAGACATAAACGGGACAGTATATAGAAACCCAAGCCCTGCCCCGTTACACCCCCACTTCCTTCAGCCAAGCTCTGTCTGCCTCCTAAAGATTCCATAATATTCCACAGCAGCAGCACCAGCTGGGAAACAGGTGTTCAAATTACGTGAACTGGGAGTGGGCTTCACATTCAAAGTATCCACAAAGGGACACTAGCCCTGCGCACAGGTTGTTAGGAGGGAACTGGTGGGGTGGTATGAATCACTTGGTCCCCAGTTGGTGGCACTGTCTGGGGTGTCATAGGTGGAGCCCAGTCTTGCTGGAGGAAGGGTGTCACTAGGGGTGGGCTGTAAGTGTTTATAGTCTCGCCCCACTTACTACTGCCTGTGCTCGGCTTCTAGCCTGCATATGGACGTGTGAGCTGTCAGCCTCCTGCTCCTGATGCCAGCGCCTGCCACCACCACCGCAACTGTCAACTCAAACAAGCTCTTGGTGTTTTAACACAGCAACAGAAAAGTAAGTAATAGCAGCAGGAACCCCATGGTTCTGGAGACTCACAGATGGTAAATAAGAATGAGACCGAGCAGTCTCCAGCCCTGTTTCAGCCAAGATGTCCTGGGGTTGTGGGCTTCGGGGTGAAGTAAGGAACAACCTGGTGTTATGGTTTGGATGTGAAATTAGAACACAGGGTTCTGTGTTGAGCACTTGCCCTCCTGCTGGTAGTACTGTTTGAGAGAGGTAGTGGAACCTTTGGGACCGGATGAATGGCTGGCACAGGTGGCCGACTGTGGGTGGACCTTAGAGAGTCATAGCCTGGCCTTGCTTACTGCCTGAGTGCTCTTCTTCTTCTTCTTTTTCCCCTTGATGTTGTTTTTAACATGTGTTTTTATGTGTCTATGTGAACTTGTGAGCACGTGTGCAGGTGCCCACAGAGGCCAGAGCATGAGGTCCTCTAGAGCTGGTACTACAGTTGTGAGATGTCTGAGGTGGGTGCCTGGAACAGAACTCAGGGCTTGTGGAGAGAGCAGGAATTGCTCTTAACAACTGAGCCATCTCTCCAGCCAAAAGGAGTTTATTTTGGTTCACAGTTCAAGGTGCAGTCCTTCCAGATGGGGAGCTCAAGGCAGAAGGCACAGGAGGCATCTGGTCTCATCGCATCCACAGCTGCGAACAGCAATGAACTTGTGCATGCCAGATAGTGTCCAGCTCAATTTCTCCACTCACACAGCTCACGATCCCTGACAGAAATGGTGCCACTCACAGTGGGCAGGTCTGCCCACCTCAATCCACGCAATCAAGACAAGCCCCGCAGGCATGTCCAGATGCCCATCTTATGGGTAATTCTAGATCCCGTCCAGCTGACAGCTAATACTGACCATGAGAGACTGCATCCCTTGAACCATGGGTCAAATCAATTCCTTTAAGTTGCTCTGTCAGGTGTTTGGTCACAGAACTGAGTCTCCAAGCACTTGACACTGACTTGGGCTTAGTCTGTTAGTGACTGCTGCCTACTTCACACCAGAGGCCAAACCTGTGGTTTCCACTCTGATGCTGCCACTACTGCCAGGGGGGCATCAACCCACTTCCCAGTGGGGATTCATATTTTGTGTGTGTGTGTGTGTGTGTGTGTTGATGGTTCTTATAATCCTTTAAACTATGTTTCTTAGTCTCTTCCATGAGACTCTGGGGCCTCAGCTCCAGTACTTATGAAACAACCCTCAAGCTAATTGTGTATTATGCAGGCTACAGACTGGGCACTCTCTCCAAAGCAGCACACAAACTTCCCCCACTAATGCTGTCCTGCTAGACGGGATTCCACTGTGACGCGAGGGGCACTCACTGAGAGCTGCGTCCCAGGTGACATGGTTCTGGATGTTCTAGGTTCCTTGTGCTTCACGATGGAGTCTCCCTCTGGTCCAGGCTCAGAGTCCTGCTGTGCTCTCCTCTGTGCACACTTCTTTGCCTTCTGCATCCTGAGAAGTTTCATTCTAAGGAAATGTGTTTCTGATTAGTTCTGATTTCCTGCCTCTGCTGATGTGGGAGTGTCATATATCAATATGTGTTTCTGATTAGTTCTGATTTCCTGCCTCCCCACGAGCTCTCTGGTTCTGTTCAGCATTCAAGACTGAAGTCTCAAAGGGATCCTGCTTGCTGTGCTGTCTAGAGAAAGCCACCCAACTTCTCTGTAAGTTGGTAACACGCCCTGTGTAATCAGGACTCCCTGCTTAACAGACCGCGGGGTTCAGACGGGCCAGCTGTAGAGGTCGTTATTTACTTTATTTGTTTTCTGGGGGAGTTAGGGATTTAAAAGCTTGTTTATTTTTATTTAGTGTTTATGGGTGTTTTGCCTGAATGTATGTCTGTGCACCACATGTGTGCCCTAGGAAGCCAGAAGAGGGTGGTAGATCCTCTGGAACTGGAGTTATGGGTTGTGAGCCACCATGTGGGTGCTAGGAACTAAACCTACTCTTCTGCAAGAGTAACCAGAACTTTTAACTACTGAGCCATCTCCGCAATGCTTTGTTATTTATTTATTTATTTATTTATTTGATTGCTTGCCTATTGAGACAGTTTCAGGCAGCCCTGGCCAACCTTGAACTCGCCACACTAAAGATGATGACATTGAACTTCTGATCTTCCTGTCTCTTTCTCCCAAGTGCTGGGATTATTAGGGGCATGCACCACAACACTTGGTTTATGCAGTGCTGGAGTTGAACCCAAGGTTCTATGTATGCTGTACAATATTTCCAACCTGTGTTTGCCTTTGATTCCAGCTCCTCTCCATACTGTACCACTTTATTCCTCTTCTTCCTCTTCCCCTGATAGACAGCTACTCAGTCTCATTCTTCTCATTGCCAGATAGGATTAGGGGGTTGGAAGGTGAGGTCTTTATGATGGCATAAGTGACTTTATGACAAGAGGTGCTTGCTCTGGATCTCACTGTGTGATAGATATAGATCCTTGCTGGATCTAGATGCCCACCCCATGTTCTTGCACTTCCTCAACCTGAGCTAAGTAAACCTCTGTGTTTCATAAATTAGCTCATTTCAGATGTTTGGTCAAAAAGCATAAAATGGGCTCAGACATACTCACATGAAGGGGAGGAGGCAGATGAAAAGTAGTGTGGTTGCCATGGCTGCATAGACAACACCGTGGAGCATTGCTTTCAGGAAGATCTGGGGAGCCAAAGGGCCCCTTCCTAGAGGCAGAAGGCATTTCAGTAAGACTTTGCTTTTATAATCAAAAATATTTTAAAATTGCATTTTTTCCATGTGTGTAGGGGGTGTTGCAGGTGCCACAGCGTGCATGTGGAGGTCAAAGGACAAGCTGCGGTAGTCTGTTTTCTCTTCCCACCGTGTGGCGCCTGAGGATTGAACTCAGGTGTTAGGCTTGGCAGCAAGCACCTGTCCATTTTGAACCATCTTATACACCCTCAGGAAGCCTTTTTTAAGTCGGATTCCAGGCTGTGGTCCCTCTTCTGACCTCAGGGCCAGTCCCTCCCTGTTCACCGCCCTCACCCAGCCTCCAAGTTCCCACCCTCACTTGACATCAGTAGGATGCTCAAACCATGGGTTCCATGTTGGTTCTTTCCCTCACAAAGAAGGACTGTGCCCATTTCTGGGTTTTTGGCCATGCTGAGGGTGCTGTTGTCCCAGGGGCCAAGTGTGGTAGAGGTCACCTGGAGGTGGCCATGCCCACTGTTCGTATCCACGGGAACACCATCCATCCACCACTGCACAGAGGGTGTAGGGATCCCACGAAAGGAGCAACTGCACTGCAAAGTCTTTTCCACAGCACAGAAAGAGTTGAGCAGTCTGGCAGCTTCTGTGGAGAGAGAGGGTCAGGGGTCAGCAAGGTCACCTGATTTTTCTTTTAATTCTTCCTTAAGGACCCAGCCTTCTGTTCTTTGTTTCTCACACTGTGGCTGAAACTCAAGGTCTTCCACCTGCTAGACAACGCTCTATCACTGAGCCACACCCCAGTCTCTCTCTGGGGGATTCTCGGGAGGTATCTACTGCCGAGCCATGCTTCCAGCCCCTTATCTAGGGATTCTAGCAGGAGCTCCACCCCTGAGTCACTGGGGGATCCTAGTCAGATGATGTCCAATCCACAATGATTATTTATCTTCTACAACCCCTGACCTCTGTCTTCACAGTTCTGTCTGTGGCTTCCTCAGACAGCGCTAGAAGTGCTTCTTGTCGTCCACTTACCCCGCTGTAGAGGCGGCAGGTCCATATGGAAGAGCAAGAACTCCCAGGCATCTAATACTCTTCACTGTGAGGAGGAAGGTGATGGCAACTAGAAGGAGATGTGGAGGTGGGTGAGCAGGAACATCTTTGCAAAGCAGGTTGTGGTGGTTTGAAAGAAAATGGCCCCCAAAACGTGTGGCACTATTTAAAGGTGTGGCCTTGTTGGTGGAGGTGTGATCTTGTTGGAGGAAGTGTGTCACTGTGGAGGTGGGCTTTGGGGTCTCATATATGCTCAAGCCATGCTCAGTGTCTCAGACCACTTCCTGTTGCCTGAAAGTCAAGATGTAGGACTCTCTGCTCCTTCCCCAGCACCATGTCTGACTCTGCATGTCACCATGTTGCATCGTGATGATAATGGACTAAACCTCTAAAAATGTAAGACAACCCAATTAAATGTTCTTTCTTTATAAGAGTTGCCATGGTCATGGTGTGTCTTCACAGCAATAGAAACCCTCATTAAGTAAACCATGGAGGGATGGGATCAAGAGGTGTGCACGCATGGGGTTCTTCCATTGGGAATGACCTGGACAGAGGCCTCTCTTGTTATTGAGAAAGAATGGTGTCCTTGAGTTGGAGTGTGAGAAATGGGGACAAGATACAGAGGAGTGAGTAGAATTTAGACTTTTGATGTTCCTTTCACTGTACAGAAAAGAGTCTGAATAAATCAACCAGTAAATCCATAGCCAGATGTGGTGGCTCACACCTGTAATCCTGTTCCATGGAGGCTGGAATAGGAAGACCGCTGTGACTGACTGTGTAGACCAGGCTAGTCCCTAGCTCCCGAGTGATGGATTCAAGGAAAGCCAAGCAGAGAATGATTGCTCATACCCCTCACAGAGGAATGACGCTGCCGGGCTCACCGGTCATAAGTGTTCTACTTCTACATCAAACACAAGCCTTGTTTTAATTTGTCAACTTTTTCTTTCTTTTTTCCCAACTTAAAACCTCATTCTGGGTGTCAGAATGAGCCCAAGATGAGTCCCGGCTCAAGACTTGTCAGTAAATCACCAAATAACTCTGGTCAACTATCACCCATTCTCCAATGGTGTTCTCATATTCATGTCACATGGGTGAGATTTATTGATCAATCTAGCTTTAGAATTCTGATTTCATCTTGCTTTTCTCTGCCAGGCTTTAAGGAGTGTAGGTGGGACGGCTACTAATGGATGCCTTCTTGATTTTCCTTCGGTCATCATTTCTCTTCATTTTACTTGATGTCTTGTTCTCGGGACTCCATGAAATCCTTTTTCCTCAGCACACTTCCATTTACCTGATTGTCTCCCCATCTTCCTCTTACCAGCCAAGTATTCTCCAACTGTTAAATTTTATTTTGTTTTTTTTTTTTTTTTTCACAAAATATAGCCAAGGCTGGTCTTTCTGTGTAGCTGAGGATGACCTTGAAACCCTGATTCTCCTGCCTCCACCTCACAAGAACTAGGATTACAGGTGATCGGAATTAATTTACCAAGAGATTTGTGCGAGCCCAATTAAGGATGAACCTGTCATGTTATGTCTGTCATGACATTGACGGACGATGGGATGACCTGATTTACAGGGTGAGTTTACTAATGGCTAACTCACACAGCCACTACCCTGATAATTAACTCCCATGCTTATTGTTTGTTCTATTAGTAGAACGGAGATCCACTGGCTTCTTTTCAGGTTAAATGGGTGACACAGTGAAAGAGACTGGAGGGAGACGGGGTGATGAAGTGATTGAGGGGTGGCGGGATGAACAAGTGAGAGCCGGAACAAGCAAGCGACTTGAAGGGTAACAGGTTGACTAGGGGAGGATGAACAGCTGACTGAGAGGCGAAAAGCTGATCGGGTGACTGAGGAGTGACAGGCTTTCTAGCATAAACTGACTAAACTGGCACCTGGTAAACTGACCGATCCGGAACGGGCCTTGGACAAACAAGGAACTCGCGTTACCTCGGTGCTGAGGTTGCAGAGCGGTTTAACCGCCCTGTGGCTGTCTCGTGAGACGTCCAAGGATAGCTGTCTGAAGACTGCGTGACTAAGGGAGGAACTCCATGCCCCTGGAAACCCAGTGTGGAGGATCTCGACGCACAAGAATCCCATGGACCCTCCCATAGGCTCAGGCAGCCGGTCATAGTCTGTCTGCCACGCTAGAGTAGCACAAGAGGGCCACGTGACAGTCTCTGCAGCGCATACACGTGTGTGCGCATGCGCGTGCCTGCATGCGTGCTTGCTTGTGTGCATGTGTGTGTGTGTGTGCGTGCGTGCGTGCGTGCGTGTGTCTGTCTGTCTGCTGTCTACAACCTGACAAAGTATGAATAGCATCTTACTCAGCAGCCAGTGAGTGGCTGCGCTTCTATGCCACAGCCAACAAGTGAGGCTATAAAGCTTTGCTTTGTGTACTTGTCTCTGGAAGTTGAGGCAAAATCACCACTGCCAATCAGGAACTGAACATTCATGTCCCACCCATCTTTGTGGTGGCTCTGAGCCAATCAGGAGCTGCTGTGAGACACTGGCAATTTGGAGTTTCCTCCACAAGGCCTTTCTTGACCATTCTCATCAAAACACACTTTGACTCCAACCCTCCTCACTCCCTTCCCTGTCAGCCAGCCTTGATTTTTTTTAAAGTGATTTTTATTGAGCTATATATTTTTTTTCTGCTCCTGTCCCATTCTCTCCCCACCTCAACCCTCTCCCATGGTTCCAAAATCCTGGGTGAGAGTACCAGGCTTTTGTGTCACAGGACTGAAAAGAAATACCACCAGAAGCCCAGTGATGAAGTCAAGCAGAGAACAACTGATCAGAGTGGGAACTTCCCACCTACATAGTCAGAGTTTTCACAGAACTTGAAGATAAAACTGTTAGGGATTTTTCCTAATGCGAGCTCTCTGAATGCAAAATCCCAATCAAACGAAATCAAAACAAGCCAAATTAAGACATATCCAGGTTTAATGGGATATTAACCGGAGGCGAAAACTTGCGACCACCAGGAGGAAGGAAAAGAGACTTCATGATCCTCTTTTGGGAGTTCACCTAAATACCCTGTGGGAGGGATCAGGACCTGGCATGCTGGGATTTGGAGTCCAGACCAATACAACTCTTAGGCCTCGGGTTTGGGGGCTACGCTCCCAACTTAACAGAAACACTGTACTTTGCACACAGGGTGCGGTGGTGCCACACTGGTTGAGAAAAGTCCACCGCCTACACCTGTCTCCCCTCCGGCTTCCTGCCACTCTGCTATCCCCATCAGAGCACTATATGCTGCCAGACAACCCACAGCTTCTGGGCGCTCTCAGCGGTCAGTCTGGCAGAATCAGGACTCCAGGGGTTGGCAAAGAGCGACCCTGTCTCAAACAAAAAGAAGGCACCAGAGGGAGGATTAGGAAGGTTGTCCTCCAACTTCACAAGCTTTCAGGACCACGGAGAGCAAGCACTTCCACTTTCCTCATGGGGCTCCATGGGGGACACACTCAGGGAGGATGTCAGACCCTCAGTTCTTAGTTCTCTGACTGTGGCTTCATCCTGCTCTAAAGTCCTTATCCAGCTAGTGGACTCTGGCCAACCACAGGCTGTTGGTAGGGGATTAATGCCAGAAGTTGTGGGAAATCCTGTCACCCTGTGTGGCTAGCAGCTAAGTTCTTGGGAATAAGTGAGTAGGGATGATGGATCAGGACTCTGATGGCCTCATGAGAATGCAGTCTCATGTGACAGCTTCCCAATCTACTTACTGTGACTTCCCAAGCCTGGATCACACAGAACAGGATCTGAAAGACTGCCAAGTTAGGTGACGGTATCAGGAAGTCAGGGGGAATCTGAGCTTTGGGACAGGAGTCCTTCTGTTCCTTCTGTTTTTGTATCCATTCCAAGATTCATATATCAGAGGGGCCACAGTTCCCAGCCCTCAGTCTGAGGAGACTCCAGTGGAGGATAAAGAACAATGTTGTCTATAGAGTCAGGGTGGGTCCCAGGGGTCACTCTGCTTGTTTTCGGTTTTTACTCTGAGTCATGCCATCACCAGTAGACCCCTTCTGGTAGTCCACATGACCCTGGAGCCACATCTTTTGAGCACTCACAGGAAGGAAGTCCAGATGCAGAGGCTGCTGTTGTGGGATGGGCTCCTTACTTCCTATTTGAGGAAGGGGCAAGATCATTCTGTGTGGTGAGATTTTGTTTATGATCTAAGAAATAAAGCTTGACTGAAGATCAGAGTGCAGAGTTAGCCACCCTAGTTAGCCATAGGGACCAGGCAGTGGTGGCACACACCTTTAATCCCAGAGCTAAGGGGGTGGAGACAAGAAGAGAAATGGCTGGGCAGAGAGAGGAATGTAAAGTGGGAGGAGACATGAGCCCATTGCAGTCAGATTGAGGCAGTCAGTCTGAGCATGCAGTCTGAGGACAGGATCACCCCTTTGGTTTGAGTATTGGTAGAGGAAGAACTCCAGAGGCTGGCTTCTGCTTCTCTGATCCTTCAGCTTTCACCCCCTGGTAAGTGACTCTGAGTTTTTGTTATTAAGACCAATTAGAATTCATGTTACAACTCTGTAGTCCTGAAGCATTGTGTGATACATTGTATCCTGTTCAAGTTCATGTGTAGAAGTCTCAGTCTCCTATCTGTCAGAATGTGAGTGTGTCTGGAACAAGATATCAGAAAATATATTCATTAGCATGACTCTAAAATAAGATGTTGTGCATTATAAGAAGAGTCACATGCAAAACAAACCATGTGAGGACACAAGTCAGGCCACAGAAGGAAATTGCCCTGTGCACCTCCTGATCTAGAACTTTCTACCTCACAGGCAAGAAAGCAAACATGTGACTTAAACTATTTTTGTGTAACCATCTGCCACTGTAGCCTGAAGAAACTTTCTTTGGGCTGCCAGCTCCCCAAAAAAAATGACAAGGAGACATATTATTAATTATGAAAGCTTGGCCTTAGCTCAGGCTTGTTTCTAACTAGCTCTTACAAGTTAAATTAATCCAGTTCTATTAATCTATGTGCTGTCTTAT